AACTCTTGGTTGTCCTATGCTTTTACTGATTGAAATTCATGATTTTTACTGAATGGAGATAGATATTTGCATATTAATGTATTTTTTAATCATTACCCTTAGTTTAAACACTGAAATTCAAAGTTTCCTTAGGCCTTAGAACATCTCTTTTCCTGTTTCCGTTTTCTTTCCTAAGCTCAATTAGAATAGTAAAATTCATAGGCTAGCAAATACTGTAGCAAATGTTGTTGTCAAGTGTTTCTCTCAATTTGAAGTGTGAGCTATATATTGTCTATTGTTAGTAATTTTTAAAATGCTTTTATGTACGTAATCCCTATGAGGCTGTCAGCCGAACTGTCAAATATACTCTTGGTAAAAGTCATTCATCTTAAAGATCACGGTAACCAGTACAAAGGCATGTCATTTCTGCCTGTGATGGAATACTGTCTTCCCTGGGGCAGGCAGACACAGGCTGAGAAAGGCAACAGTGATTGTGGAAAGAATGCAGCTCCATTTCATATGATTAGATTAAGAGATGAGTGAACTCCCTGGCCGCTCACCTTACCTTCCTAGACACAGGGTCCACTAGAAATTGGCTACAATACTCATTGAATCAGGTTGTCATATCAAATTCAACCCTGCTATGTATACACACATAGAAGCTGTGAAACTGCTTTAAGTAAATAGTAGTTTGCAGAACACTGTAGGAGAATCTGTCACTTCAATACGCAGAACGTGAGTTTACCTGTTCCTAGAATTTGGTCACTTGGCAATTTCATGTATCAGACTAACGAGGAAATTGTGTACTGCATAAGATTTAATTATTTTAAGACATAAATATTGGGATAAATATGTGTGTATCTATATGTACGTGTTTTTAACTGGAAGAAGAGGAAGGGGCATGCTGACATAGCCAAGTAAAAAGTGAAATCCTACCCCAGCCTGGTGGTGGATGCATGCCAACACACTTGCATTTTGAAAAGCATCTGTGTGGTCTGGTTATTTTTAAATGACCGAAAACGCTGGCCTTTTGAAGAATTCAGGCGTTTCATCGGCCCAGAAAATAGGGACTGGACTGGAAAGGCATCCAGACCCCAATTCTGGGCCCTATCGGTCCCAGTTTTTCAAGGAGATAGGAATGGTTTCCGGAGAGAGCCCCGGAAAGGGACTCTAGGACCCAGCAGCTGCGTATTGGGCC